TTGCAGTGCTCCAATAAATACTTAGGAGCGTTGGAATTAATATTCGATAATAAGCGACATCGGCGAAGCATAAATCTTCTATCGGAGAGCTATTATATCCGCTTAATCGGTGGTAATAACGTGAACTATATCAGCATAATCGCGTAACATTTCTGCTTGATTAGGTTTATGACGAGGCACTTTTCGACAATGCGTATCGGCGAATGGAATCGATAGCAGTAGAACCAGTTACTAGACTAAGTTCATGTTCTAAATTTGTAATTATAAATCATAGATATATAATAAGCTAATCCAATTATAAAAGATCTAATTATAATCTAATGATGATATGAAATATGAAAAGTCATATTAGTATAGATAATGGGAAAAAAAATAAATTTTCTCGTAGGAAGTCGGAAATGAAATAACAAGAGTTAAATTAAATAAATTATTTTAATTTATTTAATATATAAATAATTGTGACAATTTATTATTTCATATCCAACTTTCTACGAGAAAATGTATTTATTATTTATGATGGATACGATTGATGAATTAATAATGGAAAATGTTTCTCAAAATAATAAAAAATAAATACTAGAATATAAATTGTGGATAAACTACAGAATGAAAATCGTCTTTTCGCGATTACAAATTCACGATATTATTATTTTTCTTTCCTTTTTATTATATAGGACAGGATCGTTAAGTTTGAAAGTAGAAATAGTCCCTTTAATTGTATTTATACTAGGCGCCAAACTGTAGTAAAATTTATACATGTCCAGTTTACATTATTGCACGGGAGGAGAGAGAGAGAAAAATAAACGGGAGAAGGGTAAAAGAGAAAGGGAGGGCGAGCAGGAAGTACTATAAAGGCTGGGACGTTATTGACATTGTCAGTTGTAAAGTCGGATATATTGCGAGGTGACTGTTTATTCCTGTCTGAAATATACGTGCTATAGTCAGCGTGCAACTACGGTTAACGGGGTTAGAATGAATAATGCACCAGATTTTTCAGTAGTATCTCGAGCTATTATTATGATAAAGTATCGAAGCTTGGCCGGTGTGCCGGCTGGTAGAAAGGACATTACAAAAAGGGAAAGAATTCTCGTTGTTACAGGAGCGATTGGTGGTGAACGTAGTTAAAATGATCGGATTCTTTTCTTGTCTTTCATGCTCTTGTACCCTGGTTAAAACAGAATTGTAAAAATCTATTGAACTTTGATATTATAACGGTGAAGATTGCGAGTAAAATTATAGGAAGTTGGTATCGTAAGTAAGAAGGAAGTTCGAAAACGCTGTAGCTCACGTCCCAGTTAAACGATCTCGGATTCCAATTTGAACTTCGCCATATTACTTCGAGTCGAGAAAGCTGGCAGACGTTGTCCGGGAGGAATTACACGAGCCCTTTGTAAGGAGCAAGACTTGCCGCGCGTGTTCTCGCGATTCAATTTAGCTTGGGAAAACGCGCAGAGAAATGGCATTGTTGAAAGAGGTGGAAATTTTTGGTTGGAAAGAGGGAAAGACTTCTGGAGTTCGACCGACTTCTCCTTTCTCGTTTTTGATAAATTGCACGGTCTTTTCATTTCTGTTTTTTCTTATAGCCAATTCATTCTTCTTATTTTTCTTTTTCTTTTTCTTTCTTTCTTTTTTTCTTTTCCATTTTTGAGTTAGATCGTGACTGTTACCACGTTTCCTACGAGATTTGACAAAAATCATGAACGACGACTAGACCGCTAAGATTAATTTATCGTAAAGAAAATAATGATCGTAATAAGAAGAGCTTGTAACACGAGAATGAAGCTACCTTTGCACGGTAAACTGATATCAAAAGGATCTATTCTTGGATCGTTGAAAGACGACGTCACAAGGTTCGAATTTAACACGTTACAGACATATGACAAGCTTCCTCATGTTGATAATTGATGCAAAAGAACAGCTAGCTGTTTGCATAGACATGCTTGGTAATAAAATATCAGCTTTGCAGCATACTACCAGATCTGTTTCATAGTAAAAAATATTTTCTTAACGTACAGTCGTTAAGCCTTTTTTTTCCCCTTTCCCCCCGATCGGAAGAACTTTAAAAACGGCATATGCAATGAATCTCGTTAAAATCCAAAGCGGATCAAATATTGTCGGTTAAAAGTCAGACAAAATTTCGAATGACTAATGAACATACATTTATCCCGGACGCGATGTAAAGTTGACCTGATTTTTACATAGCAAACTGTGTTAGTATTTTATGAAAATAAAAAAAAGTTAAAAGAAGAAAAAGAGCAAAAACCTACATTGAATCACTCTCGCGTATAAATCCGAAGCGGCGGACATGCAAACGTTGGCGTTTGCTTACTTTTAAAATCCGCTAATGATTCGTTGAAATTGTAGGTGCGCGCGCTCGCTTATATATGTGAATGCTGACAAGGTGGTGGTTCGTAGGTGGGGTAATAATCGTCGTAATGACAAAACAAATACGGTACGTGCACGTGCACGTGCGCCGTGCTCTCTAGCTCTCTCGTCACGAAATGTAAGCGGCATGCGGCACGCGCGTCTGGCTCTTCCTTCCGACCGCGTATTTGCGCACCGGTTTCAGTTACAAATCCACTTCGCTAAGCACGCATGACATACACATATGACGCCTACATATGACCGACATATACGACGAACAAAGATATCCCTTTTAATGTACGGTTCTTATTTTCTATCGTCGATTCATCCTCTACCATACCTTTAATCTTTTTCCAAAGTTTTTTTTTTATCTTCCAAGATATTTCCTTCAAGATATTTATCAGAAAAAACGATTCATTTTATGATAAAAGAAAAATAACACTTTTATTGAAATAGAATTCGATTTCTCTTTCGAAAATAACTTTAGATGTTCGTTAATCGTATATAACGATATAATACAAGCTTTGTCATCGATAAAGATTTAACAAATAAAATCATTTTTTTTTTATTTATCTATTGTAAACTCCAAAATATCAAATAGACATAGAGTAAATTGGATATTTGTTTTAAATAGAAATATTTTTGCATAGAAAATATCTGAAATAACTAATCACAATTGTTACTAACGGGTGGTTGATTGAAAAATGTCTTTATATTTTTTCGATCTAACGAATATATACGACTGAAAGTCGGATCTTATGTGTATTAATTTTCAACTTATAAATCTCCTCAATTTCTTCTCGTATATTCGTTATGAAAATGAATATATTATTACTACGATATAATCGAGCGAACGATAGGAAGTACTTATTTTATTCTCGATCTTTTGCCGTTGACTCCTCACAGATAAATAATAGTAGAGTAGAACCTTGCGTCGCTATTTCGACTAATTTGATCATTAACTTCCAGCATCATTAATTACAACTTCTCACGCAACAACGTTCCCATGAGTCTTTAATGTAACAATTGTAGACTGCGAACAGATTCAAGGCGAATGTAAGATCATATCGAGCTTTCTTACAAGCCACCTTAACGTAACCTAAGCTAAGTACCTTCGACGACGGAAGTACTTTCATAAGATGCAAATTAAAATTAACGTAAAGCGAAGGAATATTCGCGAACGAGAAAGTACGCTTATAGTAGAGTAGACTATCTATTCGTATAGTAGATATTACCAACGATATTTTAGCAAAATGATAATAGAAGCGAAAGTTATACAAAATTGATAGGAACGTAATAATAATTTTCAACAAGAACAACGCTTTAATGTTGCGCCATGTTGAATTTTACTCTTCATGATCGTTTAGAGAGAGAGAGAGAAAATGGAAATGCGTTGCGGTGTACCACCTTGGCCAATAATTTCGGCTCTTACTGTAATATACCCGGGTACGTATACCTATACATATCATAGATACTAGCATAGTACACCATTGACCTCATAAGAGAACACCTTATGGCTTCGTTTATTCCATCCATTTCTTTCTCTCTTTTTCTTTTTTTTTTATCTACACATTATTCCTTTCTTCTCTTTGTTTCTATTGTTTTTCCCGCCTCTCAGTTTGTGTGTAGTTTTTTTTTCTATGCTCGATTACCCTTCCTTGTTTTTCCCCTCTTTTCAAACACACCATTTCTTCGATTACCCATACCGAATCGTTACCATTATTTTCCATGCAATTGCATTAACACTATTGATACAGCTCGTCAGCTGCATGATATCGCGTGGGAAGAAGGATTTTTTCTTTCTACGGTTGTGGTTCGATTTTCTCACTTTTTTTTCTAACTTATACAGTTTTTTCTTTTTTTTTATACTTTATTCTCTATATCCTCTGGTAGTTAAACTTTGTGTTTTTTTTCAAGGATATAATAATACTAAGCTAACGAAAGGGTGTTGCAACGCAAAGCCTTCCTATATACATATACTCTATAACATGCAAGGTAGTTGATTTTATCGTGCCTTTAGTTCTCCTCTTTTCTATTGCTTTCGCGACGAAAATCATGTGTACTTTGGCAAAACTAATACGTGGCCTAAGAAAATCAGCTTCCGCGAAGGAATATCGTGATGGAAATAAGAAAACGAGCTGAATCGACGAGAAGACGACAACTTTCTTAGACGATCATCGACATATGGATGATACGTGACTCACTTGAGGTTACATATTCGTAACTTTCATGTAGGATAGATATCAATGTGTATACACGGGGTCTCGATATTGAGTTTGTCGATAAAGTTCTCAAAAGTTACGATCCTAGAATAATATCTTGGAGAACCTTATTGGAAAAAGTTTCTAAATAAAATTTTGTCCGATAATTATCGTTAGATTGTATTAACATGAACAAATAAATGATGATTTTAGAAAATTGAATTAAAATTTCTGAATATATATCCAATTAAAACCGATATAAATATAATTTGAAACAATAATTGCAGCTTTCTGCAGCAAGAGATTCTCGAAACAAGAGTCTTATGCGAGTCTATATACTCGTTTAACTTTCGAAGATAGATCTTTGAAAGAACACGTGCATTATCGAGACACCTTGTATGGATAGCATAAGATCATCGTGGTGGGTTTACTCACGTCTATCGAAATTTCCTTGCCAGTGGGTCGGTGTCTCCTCACCGTTGGTGCTGCTACGAATCGATAGTCGGTGCATCAATGTGTCGCTCTTGATATCAGCCGTCCAAGGTTCCAAACCTTCCTCGTAAATGTTGTCGATGTCTTTACGTGGGCGGGCAGAAGCGTCACTGAAACAGGGAAAATAGATAGATCGTTACAGAACCGCGTACCCGACGGCTTTATGGACCAATAAATGTTCTGGGATCCCACCTCTCTTCCTTCTTCGTCTAAAGAAGCTTATTAAAACCCATCCCCGTTTCCTCATCTGTCCCTTTTCTCTTTCCCACATGTACGTTATCGTTTATATCGATTCGATACGATAGTGTTTCTGATCGTACGGTGATCAATGTTAAATCATTGGATATCGCCCTTGAGATGGCTCAAACGAGTTAAGTTTAATAACAAAATATGTAATCATAACAAGAATTTATTGATTGTATGTAAAAAAATTGACAGATCAATTTTTACTATATTGCTTTTTTATTTTCTATATTAACAATTTAATAAGTTATGTATCACGAAAATAACGTTGACTAAAAGAAAAAACGAATTAAATGAAATTGTATATATAGGTTACCAGGAAAGTACGAAATGCCTACGAAATGTGTGAAATATGAATACATTTCATAGATTGCCGGCTAGTTTTAGGCATTATCAGCAATGCTTAGACATTCGGTAGAATGCCGGATTTCGTATTTTGCCGGTAACATATATATAACTTAAATTGACGTAGAATACTATTAGGAATATCAACGAATACTTTCGTAATTTGTCATATACGAGAGTATATAGATAGAGAGTTACGATATCGTGCAGTCGTTCGTTAAAAGAAAAACCAGAAAGCCGCTCTGGTTGGATTGCTGAGGTTTCGGGCTGGTAAGCACGAACGGATTCGAATTTCGCGTTTCGTGATGTCGAAGTGCGCGTAACACGTGCGACGTATGTTTGGCGAAGGATGAACTAAAAGGGTAGTGGTTCTCTCGTTTCGCGACTATTTCAATTTGTTCACGACTGGTAACTCGTCGAATGAAAAGAAAAAAGGAAACTGCAAGAGAAAGGTGTGGCACGTTATAAAGTCAAAATGTTTGAAATACTAACAACGTACAATGTACTTTTCAATCGATCCGTATCTAACTTTTCACGACAAAACATTTTTTCTTTTATTGCAAAAAAAAAGAAAAGAACATACAGATTTCGAACACATCGCAACTTCTGAAACTTCTTTGCAAAAAGAGAAATCGTAAATATGAATGATTAAATATATTCGATATTATTTTGATGACAACCAGCACGAAAATTTATTTTCATTTTTTTTAAAGTGCACTTATTATATTCTAACGAAATTTGCATAACTTTTACATAATGAATTCTGCGAGATAGTTTCTAACAATTTCGGAATATACGAGATATTTTGTTAATTACATTCTTACTAGCAAAAGGACAAGGGAGAAATATTGATAATTTCCAGCTTCTTTCTTCGTTTATTCGTCTGAAAAAGCTTTCTTACTTTTCTTTTTTTCCCACAGAGTACGACGTTTATCACACCAAAGAAAGATCGTGCGTAGCATGGATGGAATGTAATTTGAATATTTACCACAACTCTTTTCCATTCCTTCTTTTAAAATTCTCCCTTTGCTCGTAAATCAAATTCTTCGCGCTTTGTTGGATATTATTTAGCCATATAATCGTTAAAGTAAGTATGTCTTGATCTGTACTTGTATTTTTTATCTTTTTCCAGCACGTTAACGATAAAACGAAATCGTTTAACCATGAATGTCGAGAAAGAATCACCTTTTTATTTCGTTGACCCTCAAAGAACTAATTTCTTACGATCTACAATAAGCGTAGCTTATGTCTACTTCCAACATTCAGGGCTAAAATAGCCTTTTTACAGGGATAGTGTATCGTATCGCAGTGCTTCGGTTAAAACGACAAAGCGATACAGATCCAACACCCCTTCAACAGCAACCAATGTTTCTCGACGCACGGTTCCCTCCGTCTAGCATCGACCAGACGTCTTATTCTTTATGTCATTGTCTTGGCACCCCTTGCCGTTGGCAAAGCGTACTTTTCGACCCAAGGAAGATCACGCGACTACGATTACAATAGGCTTGCTTCCTCAACCATCGTGCCAACCCTGACGACAACGACGACGACGACGATGACAACGACAACGATAACGGTACGTTACTCTCCAAGGAATAACCCTTCTTCACGAGAATGGTCTAACTTACGCGTCACTATCTTCTTCTTTTCTATTTCGAAGAATATACTTTGATATCTATATATATATATATATATATAGATCTTGTATATACGGATATGTATTTATATATGTGAAAAGAAAAAAGATTGAGATTGGGGTCATTGTAAGCTGCTCAAAAACTTCGAATATGTTCACCTATTGTCTACCCTTACTTTCCTTCTTTCTTTCTTCTTTTCTTCCTCGTTTTCTTCTATCCTTTCTTTTTTTCTTTCCCCTAACAAATCGCCAACTATTTTGGTCTCGTTCATCCTTGACACGAGCCTTTTTCGCGTGGTCCTTTTTAACCACGTTTAAAAGCACTCTTGAGTCTACCCTATCCCACGAGAATACTTTCCAGATGGTTCGTTGCTACACAGGGCTCGTCGCCTTTTTATTGCTTTGGATAGTTAGGGTTTCGGCTATGTACCTTCTTCGAAGGAAACGTTCGAACTGAGTAATAGCTTTGCTATGATCATAAAAGGATACGAAGATCGACTTCAGGATGAAGGATAAGAAGTTTTATTAATTATTGTCTGTGATGTAGATTTATAACTTTTTTAATATTTCATATTTAATCGCATGAAATGATTTGAAAATTTAAATTAAACATTTAATATGAAATTTCTGTATTTTATCACATGTAATTGTATTTCTCGTTATCTTTTTGATATCTGTATCATTTTTCAATATAGAGACAGAGAAAAATAGATCTTACATGAAAAGTAAAAGAAAGAGAAAAGAAGATTGGCGAGATTTTACGAGAGGATCGTCCTCGTTGAAAGCCTAGAAAGAGATATACTCTAGAATTATGGTCGACGATCCAGCAAGGTATGGCTGCTTTTTCAGAAAAAGCCAGCCAGTAGACATGCTCGAAGAGGATGGAATCCCCGACGACATTTTCCTCCTGCATCTCGTCTTTTCTTGAGATAGGAAAATAAGGCAAGATGAATTGTAGCTCTTCGTTGAAGGAAGCAACGTGTTTGTTCAGACATTTATACGTGAACTATCATCGAGAATGCGATTAAATAATTAATTTCCGATAAACCAGATGCTTCGCGCACGGTTTTCAAAATTTCTAAGAAGATACTTTTAATCTTATTTTTATCTTTCATATTTTATTTTTTATATTTTATATAATAATAAAATAAAAATGTTATTCTTAGTTTGCAATATTGCTGAGATCATATTAAATTAATTATATCTATAATATATAATCTAACTGTGTGATATCACGTTTAGGTATATGAAATTAATTAAAATAGATTTATAAGTTACAATTACTATTTTAACGAGTATTGAAATATTGATGCATGTTTTACTGCTATTTCAGTCAAGAAAATGTTTATTGCTGATCTGAATATATATACAGATAAATTAATTTTAATACTATCGTAGAAATGTGTATGGTTTTAGTGGAATTTGAATATAGATATAGGTTGTATATAGATAAAGCTTGAGAAAACTTATTTCGTCATAAGCATTTCGAATATTTCTACACTGTTGAGTATGTCTCGATACCGTTATCGTAACTCTAAAGCTTCCAGTGAGTCATGGTAGAGAATATTGATTCAGTTAGATCGTATCCATAAAAAAATAAAAAAAAAAAAGCGGAATCAAATTTTACCAAGCTTCACTACTTTTCTTATTCATTTTATTTTAATATCCACATAGTATAAAAAATGTTATTATTTTGATCGAACGATTTTATCAAATAATTACAAAATATTTACGTACTTACTTAATTTAATTCGAACGTTTATTAATTTTTTTTAATACTACGATTTCTCCCCACGCAATTTCATTAAATTGTTAAAAGGAACAACCACAACGACTATATATCAAACACTAAGTTGTACAGAACGAAATACACGATAGCGCCTTAAGTTGCTCGTAAGTAAATAACGAGTGTTATCGGTCGATACGTTATCATGATACTCGGTTACTCACGTTACCGAGTAAAAAAGAATAAAAAGAAAAAAAAAAAGACTCGCAGAACAATTTTTCGTACATCGACAAGTTATCATGAATGAATGACGAATAGGTAACTTTTAATTCTGATATAATGCATAAATTTGTATTCAATTTCTTTCTATTTAAATTTGTCAATTTTTAAATCTTTTAGGAAAACAAAAAAAGATTTGAAGAAACGTTTGGGATAGTGAAACGACTAAATAAGCGTGACAAAAAGAACATAGATGTTTGCATGTAAAAGTTGGCTCCTAATGCTTTTCAGTACGATCAGAATATAAGGGTTAAGCCTATAAAATTGTTGAGCGACAAGGAACAAGGGCAGCAATGTTACCCGACCATGAATCACAGCTCACACGAGGAAACTTTTTTCTACTCGCGTCTCTACATGCTACCGAGCGAGACGTAAACGTGTAGATAGATGTATAGATAGATAGAACATGCGCTCTCATTGCACTCTGTCTATACTCGTTTAAGTCTATACTCGATAACTGGAAGCATGTCCTTGCACGTATATAAAAAATATTTTCTCTGTTCACGTGTACCTTTTCAATTATATATCATTGTTTTATAAACCTAATCATTTTTATTCACCGATTAGCTATTAGAATAAAAAAGAGCAAAGGAAGAAGAAGAAATGATAGAACAAAAAAAATGAGATTCGTTAGAATGACGGAGGTCCTTTTCAATTTCCTTTAAAGTAACGAGCAATGAATTTGGGAACAAAAAAAAAAGATAGATAAAGAAAGAGAGATAGAGAGAAGATGAGGTGCAAAAGGTCGGATGACTCCCCGAGGAAAGGGCGAATGTTCCTTCTCGAAATGAAATTCTGACCGAGACTCTTGCTCGGTCATAAATTGACATAGAAGTCGAGGATAGGTTTGAGTCGGTACGTCAAAGTAAATGAAACAAGCG